CTATGACTGATGCCTCTGGCCTGCCCTCTGCCGCCGCCACTCCGGCGGAGGATGTGACGATGACATGAGCTTATCTTTGTGATTTCTCTAACGATTTTCTTTCTTTGTGCATGGCGGCTGGCTTTTCGGGAAAAGGAAAATACCCCGGTGTCTGGAGTAGTCCTCTAATGGACCATTTGTTTATCCATCTGTCTTTCGGTCTAAGGCTCTTACTGAAGATTATGATTGGAATCTGCATTGCATTGCAATTTGTGAGATACATTGAGCGAATTGAATATTCTACCATATTCTACCTTCCAACATGAATGGAGCATAGCTTGGTATAGGAATGGGCACGCCGAGAATTCTCTGATTACCTTCCAGCTGAACCCCCTTTGGCTTGAGTATCCCTATCTCCTTCAATGGTATACCATGCTAGATGTCGGAAATAACAAGTTCTATACAGCAACCTGAGCACTAGAAGTATCCGTTCAACCATGGTTCATGCAGAGCCCCTATAGTTTGGGCCCCACCTTATCTCAGCCTGTTGACGATGCGACTTCTCGGTCGTCTTAGGCGTTATTCAGCTTCTCCAGGTCCTCAGGTCCCATGATAGCAAGCTGCCTAGGAAGGGGCATATCAAGTTGCGAGCCTTGGCGTGATTGCGATATAACAGGCGGTGTAACAAGGCGGCACACAGTTGGCTTTTCTGCCATTACTCTAGTGCTATTTTGGGTCTCCGGAGTATATCTCCTAAGTGTCCATAATTGTTCCCTATTTTCTCGATTTAAAGATCAGCGGATGATCTTGTGGCTCACCTAAAGTTACAGTGTCAAGAAATCAACGTATGGCACTTCATTGAGATCACCGTTTTGACGATATATACCTGTCACGAAGGAACTCGGCTACAATATATTATGGCACTCCTTCATTAACGATCAGACCCCCGTGTACCCACATTTTAGGAAAGGGTTTGCTAAGATAATAATTCTGAAACCCGAACTGACTTTCTGAAGAAATGTCTGCACAGGTGTGTTGCTGATCACTCAGCCACAAGCTGGGTAGATAGTAAATACTGGGAAATGTATGGACCAGCAATACATGCAAGCGCCATAGGTGGCAGTGATCATCATTGATCGTGTGCTATAGGCCCAGCCGTACTGTAAATAGATATCTGTCATATGGGGCGCTTGGCTGTCTCACATTGATGATAGGATGAAATAGCGCCCACCAGGTCTTAATTGTCTCATCTCACACATTTGAATTTCACACAATTCAATTTTGTGGGTTGTGTGTACAGAGGACTGTGAGTATGTTCTGGACCTTGGCAAGAGGATTTTCACCAGGAACAAGATATGTCCCGAGCTGTAAGAGATCCACTGTACATCTAGAACTTGGGAGGATCACCGATCGGCAGTGTGGCGAGCTTGTGAATCTTGTGAATGTGTTGGACACCCCTCGCGGGGCAACGTCATGCCTAACACGTAGGGATAGAAATACGTGTAAGATCCTAAGGGAGGGCGGGGATTACATGCGCAAAAATCAGCGAGTAATCCGAGAGAACTAGAGACAATAGTGGCATCTCCTGTGGCGTAATGCAAGTGTGGGTCTCATGTCCCAATTGGTTTTAGGGCACGACTGTTCCCACGGATTGAGAGTTTCTTATATTGCAATAGCTTCATTGTTTACTCCTATTCCAGGTGTATTCTGGTCTGTTTTATGGGAAATGACAGTTAAAATTAGCAATAATACGAGCAATAGTCGAGTAGACCCTAATATAACAAAACAGATATAGAACTAAGTTGTAGGGCAGGTCTAGACTCTGAAACGCGACCAATCGTAAATTCAGGGGGGCTCCTCCAGCCCTGAGAAGTCTCGACCGCGAGAGTGCGAGACTTCTCTTCTCTCATGTTTCTGTGTTTCTGGGGGATTTCACTCTCTTCATCCTTTTGTCTCTCGCCCCTGGTCGACTAACCAGTGTCTTACTTCCTCGGGCGCTCTATCCGACCCCATACAGCTCATTTCTCGTTGCTTTTCTCGCGCAGGTTGATCCTGCCCTGACCGATATACCCATCGTTATAATCCAATCGCTACCATTCTCGATCCTCGATCCTCGATCCCTATATCTTCATGAATACGTGCCCTGTTGGTATTAGTTGGTAGTTCAGGATTGGTGTTGCCAATATGCGGAACTTCGTTTGGGCCCTACTGGGCTTGGCCGTCCTGCCCCAGGCTCTCGCAGGCGATACCCTGTCCACCAATGGCTTCAACTTGTGTATGACCGACTCCACCATTAAAGTCCAGAAATTGGACGTCTCCTACTCTCGCTCCACGAAAATTGTTACCTTCGACGTGGCTGGTACCAGCGCCAAAGAACAATATGTGACCGCGTCCTTATCTGTCACTGCCTACGGCAACAATATCTACACCAAAGACTTCGACCCGTGCGGTACGGAAATCCATGTGGCCGAGCTCTGTCCTGTCCCTAAGCAGGGGTTCAAGGCTCGGGGATCGTATGAGGTGCCGTCCGAATATGCAAGCCAGATTCCGGGTATCGCATTCCAGATGCCTGACTTGGACGGTCAGGCCAAGCTGGTCCTCAAATCGAAGGACAATTCAAATGTGGCCTGTGTCCAGTCGGAGTTGTCCAACGGTCACTCCACAAGCGTGAAGGCGGTCACCTATATCTCGGCTGGTATTGCAGCTGGTGCTCTGGCGCTGACTGGTATCTCTGCCATTGGCTCTGCTGGGGCTGCTGGAGCTCCGTCGGCTAGCCCTGGGTTCGGTGATGTGATGGGCTGGTTCCATTCCATGGCCACCAACGGCATGCTCAGTGTCAGCTACCCAACTGTGTACAGCAGCTTCTCTCGGAACTTTGCCTGGAGTACTGGTTTGATCCCTTGGTCTGGTATGCAGAACTCCATTGACAACTTCCGGAAGGCGACCGGTGGCAATTTGACTGAGGAAAGCTATGTTTTCCTGCAGAACGCTACTTTGACAAACAGTGGATCATCTAGCAACACCACGAAACGAAGCTTGGAATATGCCATTCATTTCGGTGAATTTGTAGCTCGTTCCATCGACACTTCGTCCGATGCGAGTGTGTCGAACAGCTCTTCTAGCGACGACAGTGGGTCTAGCTCGACGATCAACAGTCTGAAGGAACTCTCTGAAGAACTCATGATCCCCTCTGCCAACATCTTCATGACCGTTCTTCTCATCTTCGCCATTGTTGTTGCTGTGGTCATCGTCGGCATTCTTCTTGTCAAGGTCATCCTTGAACTGTGGGCGCTGTATGGCACTTTCCCCAACAAACTTGCCGACTTCCGCAAGGACTATTGGGGCTTAATGGCGCGAACAATTACCAATATGATTCTCGTGCTCTACAGCATCTGGGTGCTATACTGTGTCTACCAACTGCGAAACGGTGATTCGTGGGCAGCAAAACTTCTAGCAGCTATCACACTCGCTGTCTTCACCTCTGTGCTCCTCTTCTTCGCTATTCGCATCGTCTACATGGCTCGCAAGTACAAGCAGGCTGAGGGTGACACCGATAGCTTGTACGAAAACAAGGAGACCTGGAAGAAATACAGTCTGTTCTACGACAACTACAAGAAGGACTTCTGGTGGATTTTCATCCCGGTCATCATCTACGCCTTGGCCAAGGGCTGTATCATCGCCGGTGCACAGGGCCACGGCCTGGCCCAAAGTGCAGGCCAACTGGTCTGCGAAGCCCTTCTTTTGATCATCCTAGTCTGGAACCGCCCATACGCTACCAAGTCTTCCATGGGAATCAACATCGCCGTTCAGGTCGTCCGTGTCCTGTCCATTTGTTGTGTCCTTGTCTTCGTTGAGGAACTTGGTCTCTCCCAAACCACCAAGACCGTCACCGGTATCGTCCTCATCGTCGTGCAGTCCACCCTTACTGCCGTCCTCGCCATTCTCATCGCCGTTAACGCTATCATTACCTGCTGCCGCGAGAACCCCCACGCCAGACGCAGAAGAGAAGCTGGTATGTCACTCATTCTCATACAAACCCCAATGTTGAAAATTATGCTAATATATCCTTCCTATAGAAAAAGCGAATCGCGATCTCGACGACCTCACCCCCTTGGACGCCCGCGAATCCCTCCTCATGGAGCACCCCAAGCGCAAGGACTACGCTGAGATGAGCAACTTCAACTTCAACGCACCCTACGCACCCTACCGGGATGTACCCCGCCGAACAAGGTCAAACAGCAGCCACGATGGCCTGGTCAGCAACGACTTCGGAGTGTCACACGCTCGCAGTTCAAGCCGCGACAGCAGGCATTCGCGCAGCTCTATCGAAGGCCGCCATCCCACACAGCCTGGCTACGGTATGGCATATTAAAAACGACCGATACAAAACAAAACAGGGGGAAAGAAGCGAAGGCATCACACGGATTTGCCGTTCTTTCTTGATTTACACCCTTTTTTCTCGACATTCCTTCCTACCTACATATTTTTAGATCGAGCACTTTCTTTTTTTGACGGTTTTTAGCGTGCTTGAAATGGCGGTTGGGCCTTTTCATATTTTGTCTCTTTTTGCATATTCTTGTGATATCATCCCATTCTTTTTTTTTGATATTGCGTTTGTCTATACATACCTCAATCTTTATTATCTCTATTTTATTTTAGCTTGCAATTTATGAGCATGTCTTCTAGATTGTGTGGTTGTATATTCATATCTTGTTGAGTCGAGTTGTGTAAATTAACTTATCCCTAAAAGACTGTTTTGAATACATTGATTCCGATCTTATATCTCAATTCTTATGTTCCACAATTCTTCTCCAAGACTATATCCTAGAACACTCATGCGACCGATGATGAAGTCGGACCTCGCTTGAATGTAACCTTACACAAAAGTCTCTCCGCCAGCGTACTCTATGCATGTATCGCATATTCTATGCATGTATGTAGGATGTATGCATGGAAAAGTGGGATCACAAGCGGTTTCTATCGATCTAACTAGACAAAGTTTATCTTGCAGCCTCTTACGCTCACCGAGAGCTGGACACTGGCCCTACAACTGGCTCCTGTGCCTCGGCGAGACGGTCTGGATACCACTTCTCCGTCACTTGTTGATGCACCTTCAAACGGGTCGCAAAGATCCCCTCTCCAGGACATCCCCGCTGAAACAGACGACGTAGAAAAATTTGTGCATTCCGCCTCACCTCGTCATTCGTGACCAGGGCAGCAATGTGCGGGGGAATGTTCAGGCATTTTTCCTTTCTCAGTTCGAGACTGATATTATGAAACAGAGCAAATGAAAATCGAGGCCCGAGATCATTACCGTTGTGATCGAGGAAGTCCCGCGGTCGAGTCACTACCCGGTGGAATGCAGCACTGCAAACCCCATCCGTCATGGCCTCCAGCTGCAATCCTACATTGATGATCATAGCGCCCGGCCTGGGAGGCACCGGAATCCAGTCACCAGCCGCGTTCATGGCCTCCAGGCCCCCATGTGGTGACCCAGGAAGGAGGAATGTCAGCCAGCTGGCATCCTTGTGGGCGCCTTTGCCCTGTATCTCTTTCGCTTCGCTGCATTTTGCGGCGTGATCAGCCGAGGTTGATGGGGGCGGGACGTACTTGGCCAGCATCAGTCGATCGAACGGCTTGTCGTCAAATAGCTGGAGCAACTCAGTAGTCTCCAGATCCAGCGCCTGGGCGACCATCAGTTTGAACTCGTCGGCCAAGCTTTTCACTTCTGCCATGTAGCGTTCCATGGTGTGCCGGAAATCCGGAAGATCCTCCTTATCAGGCCACTGTCTCAGTGGAGTTAGTTGGATTTAAGGCGCCTGAAAGCGCGATCAAGGCTGTATTCATACCGCATTAGGCCCTCGCAGGTTGCGATACTGCGGCTCATCGGGGCCGGGAGGAGAGCATTCATAACCGAGCTGGCCATCCGAGTCAGTATAGGGTTTTAGAATCGGTGAAAGTGCAATAAAAACAGACATACTGTATATGATTCTCGATGATCCTTATGATTGGAAGTTGTGGACTCGTCCATCCCCACGTAACCCACAAAGTGTTTATTTATCTTCATCCCGATTTTGTTCTTCTTCTCCGATGAAAGCTCGAACAGCTGCCGTGACTGGTCTTTCAAGTCCCATTGCAAGGATGGTGGAATTGGATGGTTTACGAGATAGAAAAATCCCACCTTGACGAGTGCATCCCGAAGCTGTGCTGAAAACTGTGGTATGGTGTCTGGGGACTTAGACAACGCGTAGTCGACCATGGGAATTTCACTAAAGTTGACCGCCATAGTGAGAGAGGTGAAGAACTTGACCAGCGTTCTGTCTGAAGACTAGGATGCTTCCAGTTAATGAGATGGAAATAAATCGCGAGCGAGCTCGTCGCAGGCTGGCATAAGGGGACAAAGCCTAGCGGTGTATAGAAAAAGAAAGAAACCAAATAAAAAAATAAAAAATAAAAGAACACGTCGAGTGTGCAGTATGACGCACTGGTGAAGCGGATACGATGCACAGAAAAAGAAAAGAAGAAAGGAACACGTCGAGTGCATGAAGAATGAGTGCATGAAGCACGGCTATGGTTAGAGAGAATTATCGCAACTATGAATAGTTTGCCAACATCACGATTCCTGAGATTACACCGTGAACCTGTATGCCACTGGGAACATGGATTCTCAAGTCTTTCCCAATGACGAGATCTTCAGAGGTCTTCGCTCGTGTGCGGAGCGCTTCCCAGGGATTGCAGTCAATGATCCAGCAAACGGAGTATCAACAAGCTACGATCAGCTCATCCGGAATCTTGTGGCCACCCGCAAGAGCATCCAAGATGCTCTACCAGCGAGCCTTTTCGACGGTCGAGGAAGGCTCCTCGACAACTCGATATGGGTTGGCTTGCTATCACCACTTTCCGAGGACTTTATTGTTGGCTGTCTAGCAATTCTTTCCATTGGGGGAGCTATTATGCCCATGGCACCCGGGATTCTCCCAGAAGAAGCCAATCACTTTCTTGAGCAAACTGAAGCTAGTTTGCTCCTCGTAACATCTGGCCAGTATGAAGCAGCAGCCAAAATCCACCAACACCGACAGCTAAGGGCCGCTGTGCCTCAGCGTCACCTCCATGTCGTGACTATCACCTGCGGCCACAGAGACTATTGTATGGATACTGCCGCGCATCTGCAGATCGATGACACCCTGAGCCTCCCCTCGAATCGGCCCGGGTTGATTGTCTTCACGTCGGGGACGACAGGTCCACCCAAAGGGGCGGTGCTACCGCGACAGTGCTTGTATCCCAGGGAGTTGTGCACACCAGACAACCGCCGAGTCAACCTAAGCGACCGCGTGCCTCATTGGCTTGGCGGGATGGTATGCACTTTGCTGCCTCTGCTAACCGGGCACCTGATTGAGATCATGAAGCCAGGGTCCCCGGCCGAGGACTACTGGGAGCTTCTCAAACAGCAGCGAGTCACCAAGGTGGCTTGGGGTCCCATGACCTTGTCCAAGCTAAAGCAGTACTATGACGACCACCTCAATTCTTTACCCAGCACGGAACTTGAACCATACCTGAGTGGGGTTCGAGCTATTCGAGAAATCCGCTTGGGCTCGGCTATGCCCACGGCTACCTTGGTTGAGTTCTGGGATCGATTGACGGATGTGCCGCTACAGATGGGGTATGCCGCAACGGAGGCTGGCGGACTGATCAGTATGCTACCAAACGTCAATCCGACTAGAGTAAGCAAAACATGCTTCAATGTGATCCTATTCTCTCAAGACTGACTGCCCTTTTGTCTAGACATCGATAGGTCGACCCCTCCCCGACGTGGAGATGAAGCTCTCCGAGGGCACCACAGGAGAAGTGCTGATCAAAGGCCCCCGAATTATGTTACAGTAAGTCTACTATTTCTGCATATCCCACAGATCAGAGATTGAGGCAGCTCAATGACACTTTTACAGTTATTTAAACGACGAAGAAGCGACCAGGGCTGCATTCGACGACGAAGGATTTTTCCGAACGGGCGACCTGGCACACATGGAAGGCAACGAGTTCGTGTTTGAGGGACGTGCTTCGTCGGACTGTAAGCAAAGTTCTATGCCAAGTTGTCAACTTTCCATGCTGCTAGCACTGCTAACACTTGTATCAACAAAAAGTCATCCAGGTCTACGCATATCGGGTCCCCGTTCTGCCAGTTGAGAATGCATTAACAAGCCTTCCATACGTAGCTGAGGCTGTCGTGGTTGCAGTACCAGACGGCGGAATCGCCAACCAGCTGGGAGCTTTAGTACGGCCACGACCAGGAGCTGGTCAGGTTCTACTGCATCGTTTACATAGCGATCTGTCCAGGTCGTTGCCCGCATATACCTTTCCTACAAAGCTGCGGGTATTGCAGGAGGAGGAGATCTTGCCCCGGACTGCCACTGACAAGGTCAATAAGAAACAGGCCGTAGCGAGGTATTTTCTAGGGAGCGCTGCAGGAGCTGTGGAGACATGTAAAATGTCTAAGAATGGGAAGGAAGGGCCTCAGAAGGCGTGGGATTGGGCTGGGTTGCAGTAATAATCACCGTGGACATCCCTTCACCTACAGAAGTATCCTCTTTGGGAATGACACTCCGGTGGATTTCTTTCTAATATTATCTTGTTGAGAACTTGTTGAGGATGGGATGACGTGACGCCCTAGACTTCCTGGCCTTCTCTATTCTACTCGCACGTCTCTCAGCTCAAGCAATGCTGGTTGATTTATTTGTTTTTGCTTTTTTCCAATGAGAGATACATTGTCTGTCTTAGCCTCAATGCAATACTGGTTGATTTATTTATTTATTTTGCTTTTTGCTATTGAGAGATACCTTCTCTCTTAGCCTCGATGCAATGCTGCCTGATTTATTTGTTACTTTTTGCTGTTGATGGATACCTTCTCGGCCAGTAAAGCTATGGCAGCGCAAAGTGCGATGCAAAAATAGCGTGATTGTATCCGATAACCCAGATTCAAGTCTTCTATTAGATCTATCGGAATGCCAAATATGCAAGGACTAAAAGTCGGTGTGTGTTTCTTCCTTCCAGATCTCCGTATTAACGTGGCGATCGTGCCTAACAGTTTGTGGGGCTGCGAGATCGTATAGGGCAAAAGTCTGGCTTGCAGCATTGATTAAAGACAGTCCTACATATCTGGTATCTGTTCTTTTCACCTACGAAACATATACACATAAAGATTGTGCGAATAGGGATACCTCTTCAACTTCGAATACCTCGTGGCTTTAGGGCAAACCCCAAAAAGGTCCCATCAACACGACGATGACGGTCATCCTTGGAATACCGCATGCTGGGAAACCGCTGCTCCTAGATTTGAACTACTCTGGCTCAAAGGAGAATGTCCAGACTCTACGGGAGGTCTTCCAAATTGCGTGGGGAGCTGTGCTCGGCGTTTTTGCAGCCTCTGATTGTGTGCGGTTTGGATTGGTTGATACTTCAATTTCCACGAAAAGAACCTGTATCATAGCACTGGAAGACTCTATTCCAGCCATCCAGATTATGAGAGAGACAAGATTCTGCCAAGAAAGCGCACTGAAAAGCTTGGAAAGTATCATTATCACACAGCATTCACCCAGCATCGGGGTCCCGGTAGGTCTGCTTTATTTACTAACGGACGAACGGTATTTAATTTTGACGGTGTGCAGAAGTTTCGAGCAATGCTCCATGCCAATTTCAAAGGGATAGTGATGAGTATTCTAGTGAATCCAACCATGTCTTTCTTCTCTGATGAGGCTCGCATTCACAATATTGCCCGAACCTTCCAATATACTTTAGGTCAAATCCTAGACCAACCGCATCTGAAGCTCCGAGAGCTGAATCTGATTACAAAGGAAGAGAGACTCTCGCTGGCGAGTTGGAATCCACCGATTCCCGTCCAGCCTGCGAGCTGCATTCATACAGCGATCCTGGAAACGTGTTCGAAAAGTCTACATAAACCGGCAGTGAACGCGTGGGACGGCGATCTTACATATGGTGAATTGGATGAGCTCTCATCACGTTTGGCACAGCATCTGGGCACACTCAACTTATCTCCTGAGACCATCATCCCCCTTTGCTTCGAGAAAACCAAGTGGGCTATTGTAGCGGTCCTGGGTGTTCTCCGCGCGGGTGCAGCATATGTATTTGTTGACCCAGCAGCTCCGACTGCACGTACAAAGAGCGTCTGTGAGGATGTGAAGGCGGAACTGATGATTTGCTCGACTGCATGTCTATCCACGGCCACCCGACTAGTTCCTGTGGCCATCGCAGTGGAACACGTTGTGAAGAACACTCTAAGTCTAGATACAGAAAAGGACCTAGTGGTGAAGCTCACTGATCCTGTCTATGCGGTATTTACATCAGGGTCAACAGGTCGACCCAAAGGTGTGGTGATCGAGCATGGGGGCTTTTTCCGACGAGCCATGGCGAATGGGCCAATCCTCTCGTTGTCAAGCGACAGTCGAGTTCTTCAATTTGCCAATTTCGTGTTTGACGTCGCCAACCGCGACATCCTCTACACGCTGCTATTTGGAGGTTGCATTTGCATACCGTCTGACTCGCAGCGGTCTAACGAGCTCACGGCATTCATCAATCAGCAACGGGTCAATTGGGTCAGCATAGCCCCTTCACCCAGCAGGATCCTAGATCCAGACAAAGTCCCTACTATCCGAACACTGGTCCTTTGTGGTGAGCCCATGAATTCCAGTCTGGTAGCGAAGTGGGCAGACCGCGTCCACTTGATCAACGCATACGGACCATCAGAGGCCACTACAATCAGCTCCATGGCTACTGTCACACGCTCATCTAGTCCAACAAACATTGGGAAGGGATCAGGGAGCGTGTTATGGATTGTCGACCCAGCAGATCCTGGCCGACTAGCCCCCATCGGTGCTGTGGGAGAGTTGGTGATTGAAAGCCCTAGTGTCGGTCGTGGGTACCTCAACCGCCCGGCAGAGACGGCCTCGTCCTTTCTCCCCACCACAGCTTGGCTCTCGCGATTTCGCGCTGACTCGCCCTGCAGCTACCTGTACAAGACGGGTGATCTGGTGCAGTACGCCGCAGATGGCACGATGCTGTTTTGCGGGCGCAAGGATGGACAGGTCAAGATCAGGGGTCAGCGGGTTGATCTTGGTGAGATCGAGCATTGGATCCAGCGGTCTCTGTCATCTGATACCAAGGTCATTATCGTTGTCGACCTGGTCGTGCCGAAAGGGCGTGAAACCGGCGTGTTGGTGGCCTTTTGTTCCCCCCAGGATTCCCAAGCAGTGACGCTGGACGACCTACAAGAGATTGTACCGAAGCTGGCGCACAGCTTGGATATTGCTCTGTCCCACAATTTGCCATCCTATATGATACCCAGAGTTTACCTTCCTATCCAAAGCATCCCAACCACGGCAACAGGCAAAATACACCGGCAGGGTCTCCGTCAACTCGGTGCTACATATACCATGGAAGCTCTGACGCAGGGGTCCAGATCTTCAGTCCATTGCAGTGATGCTTCAGAACATAAGTTGGGCACACCTGTGGCTCTTATGCTGTTACGATTGTGGGCTCTGGCCCTGGGGATCACGGAATCCTCGATACGAGCACAGGACAGCTTTCTGAACCTAGGAGGAGACTCAGTCATGGCAATCCACGTTGCAGTTCAAGCCCGATCCAAAGGATTGGACTTAGCAGTTGCAGATCTTCTCGAGTGCAAAGCGCTGACTGACCTGGTCGATCTCGTCGCCGCTCGGCCCAAAATTTCCGAGGCACTCATGGTCCCGAAACCCTTTTCCCTATACGATCCAGACACTGCCCGTCTCATTCGCAAGGAGCTGACACATCTTGAAGCCCATCACGGAATTCTTGATATCCTCCCCACGACAGCAACCCAGAACTTTTTCTTGACTCAATGGTCACTCACCGGCTATTGCTGCATGTTACATGGGTCGATTGATGTCAACAGACTGCAGGCTGCGTGTAGGGCTGTAGTCCACCGACACAGCATCCTGCGCACGGTATTCACCCGGCTTTCCGAGGGTGGTTTCGTGCAGGTCGTCTTGAAGACTGCTGAGCCCACCCTGGAACACCGTTTAGTCATCGATGAAAGACTGGAAGATGTCTGCGCGTCTACCGTGGAGAAAATGATCACCGAGACCGCACCGACAATCGGAAAACCGCTGGTGCGCTTCATGCTCGTATCCAGATCAGACAAGGAGCACGCCCTTTTGATTCGCGTCTCTCACGCCCAGTATGATGGAAACACCTCGCCTATCCTCTTCCGAGACATTTCGGCGGCGTACAACAGCAACCAAAACGACTGCTGCAGCGGCATGAACCTCCTCCCCGCCGCAGCTCCCTTCCAACGTTACCTGTACGCCCCGAACAAGAACCGGGCCTTCCCTGACGACGACCCAGCGATTCAATTCTGGCGTCAGAACCTGCAGGGCGCGTCCATGACGACTCTAACCCCAGCCCTTGGAAACGGCACCGGCAACTCAGAACCAGAAACACGCATAATTACCACGCCCGTCAGCGGGTCCCTCCCCACTGTCTTCGACAACATCACCGTGCCAACCCTCTTAAACGCAGCATGCAGTCTCCTTCTGGCCGATGTAGTCGGCAAGAACGACGTAATCTTAGGCAATGTAATGGACACGCGCGGGGCGGTCGCCTTCCCGGGTATCGAAAACACCCTGGGGCCCTGTCTGAATATCAATCCGCTGCGGGTACGACTAGAGGGGCGCGGGAGTACGACTTTTGCGGCGCTCTGCCACTCTCTCAGCGAGCAGTATGCACAGGTGACACGCCACGCGGCGGCGTGGGATCTACCTGACATCGTGGAGCACTGCACTGATTGGCCCGCGGACACGCAGATGGGCTGTATCATTAACCATCTGCGGCCGGAGACTGGGCCGCTGCCGCTAGCGCTTGACGGAGTGGCTTGTATGTCGCTCGAGAAGTCGGTGCAGATCCATCTGCCGCGCCAGCTGCTTTTCCGATGCATTGCTGGACGGGATAGGCTAGAGGTTCAAGTTCTGACCTCGGCCGCGCTGATGGATAGGGCGTCGGCGACTCGGCTTGCTGAGAGGCTTGTTGCTGCTGCCTTGGCTCTGTCTGAGGCTCCTGGTACTCTGTTAGCTGACATTAGTGTTTAGTATGGGAGGAGAGGCGATATGAGATGGAGTGGTTATGGAAATTATCTGATTTCGTTATAGTTTGCACTTCTACTGATTTTATCAGTGAAGTAGGATAAAAGTTCCCGGGACATTTCTGGGTTTAGTATATGGGTTCGTATAGACACGACTAGCGGGTTTCGTTGCTGCCGAGCGTTTCACCTTGGCTTCCTCTGCGCTAACGTCGTGTAGCCGCCATAAGTACTGTATTGAACTCATGCAGAACATATACGATAATAATATGGTCATTTATACAGTCAATGAGCCGTATGCACTGTTTTTTACCCACGATGTTTTAACCCATCTGGTCAATCTCTCCACGGGCAGCCGCGCCCTACTGGGATTTAGATGTGCGATCTTCTGACCGCCTGTCACTCCACGTTGGTACATCTCCTCTCTCTCCTTGACATCCCTCATTAGAGCAGAGAACACCAAGGTTGTTGATCTCGGTAGAGATCCCCAAGGTTCTTGACTGTATTGAGAGTAGTGGTATGATCTGGACCGAGGGCCTTCTCGTAGCCTGCCAATGCTCGCTGGTACATGTCCTCTGCCTCCTTGAGCTTCTCCCAACTTTTGTAGAGATTACCAAGGTTGTGGACTATATCGAGAGTGGACGTATGGTCGAGACCGAGAGCCTTCTTATAACCTACTAGTGCTCGCTAGTATATCTCCTCTGCGTCCTTTAGCCTCCCTTGATCTATATAGAGGTCTCCTACACTAGGGAACGCTCCCTATACCGCAATATTATCGCCTAACCAATCTATATAACGGATATAATTCGCGTGTGGAACAAGGCGTTGCTAAAGCTCGGAATAATTTCTAACACTTGCACTAGGGACTGTGCCCCTAATAGATACTAGTGCTAGTTCATTAAGCTAGATTGAATTCAGACTTTCGTCAGTGCTAGCAAGGTAAATACACTAGTCTTATACCACCGGGTGCATAGCATAGCCTCCGCTTTGTTCCTTAAACTTAAGTAGAGAGAACCCGATAAGAGTCCTAACACCGTTTTTGAACGCGAGTCCGCTTAATATAGTCCTTTCGAGCTAAATTGGGAGATTTGAGCTATAACAGCTACTTTCGATTAACTTATACCAGATATCCCGATTATCAAAGCGAGTAAGTAGCAATAGTAGTGACGCTGCGTCCGGACTCCGCTTCTAGATCTCGTTATATAAGATCTTCTAGGTTTATAGCATATTACTATGTTAGTACTGGCGTTCAGGATTTAATTATAGCTGTAGGTCGGACTAAGACTCTCGGTAATACTATAAGTACTTAGTAATACTGAATCTAGTTTCATGCATAAACGCGCCGGCAATAATGACTGCTAGTGGAAGTCTATCTAGACGGCTCGCAAGAGCAACGGTATCTATATATGTTAGTATCATAGAAAATCCTTTGATACCTAGATTGCTCTCAACCTCTTTCACTTATTCTTTACTAATAGACGGCTACTTTGCAATAGTAGCTAGATCGCATCCTTTAAGCTAAGTCTAGAGGGGAATGGATATTTACACGAGGACTGACGACGTGGCCTTGCGGCTCGCCAGGTTCAGAGACCGTCCCGGAGGGATCTTGCGATGTGGCGATAGGACAGTGTCACAATGTGTTTTTGGTGGACTCTTGGACCATAGTCAACCGCACGACAGCACGAAACAACCGAAACAGTCTGGTCTGTCGAAGAAGTCGACCAGTTGGATCCTTCCTCGGTGCCGAAATGATGCGGACGCCATCTGCCAAGCACCTCTTACGCTTCAATGGCGCACGAGGTCCTCGCTGCCAAAAAACTAGGAAGGAAGGAGCTATACCGACGTGTCTCAAGATGCACTCTCCCGCGGTTGCCCAGTTCCCCAACTAGCATGTTCGACGTTGACCAAGTCCGTCGCCGCCCAAGGCAGATTTTGAAGTCCCGATTACCAGGGCGATTGTTCAGAAAGAGTGTAGGGTGAATGGCCTGCATGCGCGGACGTACGACGATTGACCGACCGATTAACACATGAGGTTACGTATCTGCAGGTCGGCATCGTGGACCAAGGGCAAAAATGCCTCATCTGGAGCACAATGGCGAGGGCTGAGTGGAAACGGGCAGGGCGACGGAAAGCAGCGCGAATTGCGCTCGAGGCGATGGAGGGAGTTATAGAACCACGCACAGCGACGCACAAGGACTCATGACGCTAAATCCAAAAGGACAAGGCTAAACCTAATGGCGTAATTCGCAGTCACCATCCGATATGATATATCATATTTCTATTGAACAGCAGGCCAAGATGAAAACCCCTTGCCTTCTTACTGACTTTCTTTCTTTCTCTCTTTCTTTCCTAGGCTTATCCTTCATGTACAATAGTGCCTGGTTAGACTCTCTTCAGTAATATATTTTCTTCCCATCTAGCTGCCATATTTTATGCCCTCTAGGACCACACCATTCCCTAACAAGATATCAGTTATTCTTCTTCAAACAATGGAATTCCTATCTTATCTGCTGCTCCTGGTACTCGGGGCATCGGCCGTTGTCGCTGACCCGACAGCCTTGACGAAGATTAACGCCCACGACTTGCAGGAGCGAGGCTGTCTCTCGGATTCCCAATCCCGACAAATCGTCGACACCTTCAATTACCTCCTTGCCAACCCCAATGCAAGCGACTTCAATGCAACCGTCAATGCTCTACTCGCGGACGACTATTCCGAATGGAGTGACTCTATTAATTTTATCATACACATTCCAGTAAGCTCTAAGATTCGCTCCTCTTTAACACCCCCCCTCCCTTTTGGAGGCGGGCCAACTGCACAACTATTTTCTTCTGACTGCTGTTCAAAATATCATCTAGCTGGGCCAACCGACCTTCACATCGAAGGCGGAATTCATTTCCGGATCCGGCTCACAGCCACCGCTGACCCTGAAGACGCTGGACATTTTCCACGATTGCAACCGCATCAGCTGGCGCTGGGTCTCGGTCCAAGGGGCCGGTAACGATGCTGACGAGGTCAAGGGCATCAATAACTTCTACATCAACAAACAAGGCCAGATCAAGACCACCTATGTCGAGTTCAACAGCGCCGCATGGCTCTACAACTTGGGCCAGCCCGAGTGTCAGGCCGTTTTGTCCAGAAGAAGAAATGACAACTAAAGTATTCTGGGATACTTTTTACATGGTCATTAGTGAAGTGGTTTAGTGACGAGCGCGAAGAGAACCTAACGTAGTGTCGTTGCAAGGTTAATTAATAGCTCGGTACTCCTTACACAGGGTTTAGTAGAAAATGCTAAGGTTTGGTTGAGCTATGTCGGTCATTGCCCAGGCGTATTTCGAACATTAAGGTGCAAAGCTCCCCGTAAGTTCTTAGTTTCAGCATAGTATAGGAAACCGAAATTTGATTTGCAGCTTAATAGTTACTTCGTATTGAAGCCACACGATCCTGTGGCTTTAAGTACGGCTGAGTGGACATTTTCATGTCGAAGGTATGAGAATGATAAGCAATACGCGGAGACATGCTCATCATAGTACGAAGAGTATTGCAGCAAAGTGTAGTTTAGGATGAAGTACTAACTAAGTTCATGGAGCGAGCGACTATATCAATATAAGGGCACGTAATACCACGTGACTATGATTCGACAACTTGATCGTAGTAGTATATATTCGGTACCAGTGTAACTACAGTCGATATAGTAATATAGCTTAATAGCAACGATTGAGGACGTCCATTAATCAGTTTTTGTGTCACCAGTGGAAAGTTTAGACAGCCTGCCAGTCGTGCATGACAGGTCGTGCACTGTCATGCGCGACAGCGCCACTGGTCGCTCGCGTGGATTTGGTTTCTTGACCTTCCACAAGCCGAAAACTAGTGGAAACTACACCAAACAAACGCCCCTCTACGCAATTGTATCGTTTTCTTCCACTGTTTATACTTTGCTATAGTTATAGTCCACTTTTGCGTGCATCCCGGTTGCTTTTTCTTCTTCTACTACTTCATCCATGGAAATAAGATATATCTCACCAAGGTCATCACCAACCCCAGCAAGCTACAAAAAATAAATCAAGTGAACATATGTCATTGCGGGACTGAATGCACATGAAAAAAAAAAAAAACTGGGCAGTGTAAAATCGAGCTCGAATCCGACATCGGACTCAGTCATAATCACAGATCACAGATCACCTTACCATTTCCTCTCTTGTTACAAGCGAAGCCAGGCCCCAGGTTAAAAAAAAGACGTAGAAAAACACAGATTGAAAAGAAGAAAAAAAAAAAAAAGAAGCGTGCCTGTAACATTTTAAGACACAGAATAGCAACACTTGCATTTATCCATGTTGAGTGGTTTAACGCTGGTATGGGTGGAAGCCGCGGTGGCCTCCTCGGCCGCCGCCACGGTAGTTTGCGCCGGGCTTGCCTGCGTTGCGAGGTCCCGTAGGAGCATTGGCTGGCGCGGCGCTCTGTGGCGTGGGGGTGGTTCCTGTTGATGTTTTGGTTAGCTTTTGTGAAAGACGGAGTCGGGATCGGAAGGGGTATATGCTATGTCGAGCCTCGAAAGAACCACATACCACTACCCGTACTTCCGACGCGCTTCATACCTGAGGGTCCAGTGGGGATGTTTGGCTGGGGTACTTCATCGTACATGCCTTCCCATGAAGTCGGTCCGCCTTGCTGGTAAGGCGAGTATCCCCGAGGGTCCATCGAGCGGCGGACTTGCTGCTGTTCGTACTTCTGCTGCTCGAAGGCGATCTGCTCATGGGCGTTGTAGCCTGGGCCGGCCTGACGGTTGGCGGCGTTGTTGAAGTTTCCTGACATGCTGGCTGCGTTGGGGCCGGGACTGGCGTTGTCGCTGCCGCCGTTACTGGGCTGTTGCTGCATCATTGCACCCATGTTTGGCATCTGCTGCTGGGAGACTGGGCTTTGAGGGTTGGGGCTCATGTTGCCCTGCTGCTGATTGCCCATTTGCTGCATCTGTCTCATTTGCATCTGCTGCATCTGCTGCATCATGGCTGGGTTCATGGCACCCATGTTCATGTTGGGCATTCCACCGCCTTGGGAGGCGACCATCTGCTGCTGCATCATGGCGAAGTATTGCTGCATACGCTGCCAGTATTGGGCCATGACTTGAGGGGTCATGCCACTCGCAGGTCCTTGCTGTCCACCCTGCTGTTGACCTCCCTCGTTTTGGTTCATGTCACGATATCCACCGCGGCGGCCGCCGCGTCGGTCATCATCGTCGCGCAGGTTGCCACGGGGCTGCGCCTTCTTCACCTCAATGGGCTTGCCGAGAATCTCGAGAGGGCGTGAAAGAGCGTTCTCCACTGCTGCTTCGCTGTCGAAAGTCACAAATCCGAAACCACGGGGACGACCAGTGTCCTTGTCAATCATGAGAGTAGCGTCGACCACGCGTCCGAACTGCATGAAGAATTGCTTGAAGTCCTGCTCAGTAGCCTCCTGGCTGACACCGCCAACAAAGATCTTGCTGGTTTTTTCCTGCTCATCACGGGGAATGGCACGCTTGGGATCAATCTTTGATTGCCGTTAGTGACCACACCATGGAAAGATCAATCGAAGGTCTTACAATCTTGCCGTCCAAGTAGTGTTCCTTCACCATAACAGTATTAACAGTCTTAGGGTCGCGGAAGGTCAAGAAACCGAATCCACGCGAGCGACCAGTGGCGCTGTCGCGCATGACAGTGCATTCCTGGACCTCACCGAACTCCGAGAAATAATCACGCAGAGACTCTGAGACGAACGTCAGAAAAAATTTGCAGGGTGTCCACGATGTACATACGGTCCGTAGTCTCCCAGTTCAAACCTCCAATGAACATTTTCCTAGCCATAAGGATTAGCGGTCTCCTAAAGCATTGACGTGCATGGACAAAAGCAAGTAAATGATATCAAAAGTAAGTTGCAAGCGTGTCCTGGCTAATTGGGCTGGCGGTGCTATGCTGCTATCCACGAGTACAGCTAATGCGACTGTCGTAGCCTTGTCAAGGCAAGTCCTCCTCGACAGGATCACTGTCGCGCCCTTCCCCAGCATACGTTCAACCCGACCAAGCTGATACTCATGGGATTTAACAAGAAACCCACTGGTTTACATGAGCCGTGATAGTCTGTGTCCTCCTCTTTCTGGCTCAAACCGGGCGAAGATGAAAAGCGTAGAGGTGCAAGTAGTTCAGTCGTAAAAAGTGAATTGTCACTGTCTGTCTGTCTGGCCTGGGAATTCACTGCCTTGTCTAACAAAGTCCGAAGCTAAGTAGAGACGGCTTGATAATCTCCCTTCCGACAGCATAGCTACTTCTTGCTCTGCTCTATCAAGGTATATCGACAAGAAGCTATATAGTATCGGGTGTACTATATATAATCGCTTGACAAAGATCCGTGGTTTGTTGCGTTTTTTGTGCATTTGTTTCCCAAGCCGCCGAGTGATTGTTTTGTCTCTGCGGTCGGATTGCGGAGCAGATATCGAAGTGCCCAGGGTTTGGGGAATGGCTTTTGAAATTTTGATGGCCGGGTCATGATTCTCCTCAAACAACCATGCTGATCGATCACCGAGCCCATTCTTGTTCCCCTCCAGCAAAGTCTGCCATATCAAAAGGCCCAATGTAATCTCTTCTCAACAACTTCTCAACAAGCGAGGCGCTTCATAGCCCGGACCCTCGTTTCCCATTGTCCATGGCGATTTTAGAAGCGTGAATAGCCGTAACGGTCGTCCACGAAAGTATGTGCCAGCAAAGCACAGCCCAATGTCAAGGAGACGCAAACAATTGACGCATGATTTGATAAACGGGGGAGCATGGACGGATCAGTGGACTTACCCATCTTCTTTAATTCCAGTTCCCTGAGACTCGGGTTCCGCAGGGGGTGGTTGGGCATGGACAGGGGCGCCGTATGCGTTTCCATGACCATTGTGATAGCCCGTGTCATAGTCGGAGGGCTGGCCGGCATTATGCGAATCTTGAGTCTCGACAGGGGCGGGCGCAAAATCCAGCCCGGAGTTCAGAGCGGGCGCAGGAGGGGCATTCTCTTCCGCGGCAGGCTTTGGGGCCTCAACAGCGGAGGTGGTGCGGGTGGTGGATTCGTCGGCATCGTAACTGACAGAAAGTGGTAAGAATTGAGGTCTTCCATGCAGAGTAAACACTTACAGATCCGCGAAGAGATCATCGCCGTCCTCTGGGTCAGCCATAGTTAGCGATTTAGAAATAAGTGAGATAGTTTTGACGTGCTGCCAGCACAAGTATCGAAGTCCGAAGAATCTGAAGAAAGAGTGGAAAGCTGGAGTGAAGAACTCCAAGGGATGGGGTGGGCTGACTAACAAGGATTACTCCCGACTTGCGACTCAACGGCAATTGTACTTGAGCGCATATTATCAGATTGCCAGATTTGCTCTTAAATTACTTATTTACCCTCTCTCTTTACCCTACGATGCTGTTTTAATCTGCTGAGCTCCTACATGGCCTGGAGGACGGCACACTGCAGCGCCACCCCGCACGTCTATTAGCCCCATGAGATCACGATCACTTTGAATTCCCACGATGGCGAACAAAAAAGGGCAGGTAAGCTACCTATCCTTGATTATCGTGATCTTGCACTTCTCTTCTATGATCTGAAGCTAACTGTGTCCCAGGAAATGGTTCAGGTTGGTGAGTGCTTCTCCCCTTGCATTTCAATCACAGTTATAGCTCACATGGTCTCCTTTTCAACTTGGCAGACAATTCGGAGTAAGTCGCAAGCCTGGTCTTTTCTATTCTGCAGCTATCTTCAAGCTGTAAAGCGCATACAATGCTGATTATTTCTCTAGACGTACAGAATCACCTTTCTGGGCCAGCCGAAACACCTCTCTAAACCAGGGATCGAAGATATATGGTCCGAATACAGTTGTTGGCGCATCGTACTCCCATGCCAATCTTGTACAGTGTGTGCCCCTGCGACTCTACGGACGCCATTTGCGGAAATGGTGATTGACAATGTGTCTTCTTGGCAGAGCTACATCCTCCCACTCACGCCCCAGAACCCCACCAAAGTCATCGGCTACAAATGTTGCATCGCACTTGAATCGCAGGCCAGGAAACGTGGTCGCATCGCCTCCCCGCCAACCCTATCCTGGCATTATGACCCCAGGGGTCGACGAGTGGAGTCGTGACCCCACCGAAGATGATGAAGATGATGATGACGAGATTGTATACGACGACGACGAAGATGAATTTGGGCTTCCTAGCCTGGCTAGTATGAGAAGAAAACGGTCCGCGCAGTTAAAACCGGATAACCTGGATACTGGTGGTGGGACTGGAGGCAATCTATCAACGCTTGGATATGGGTTGGCCTCGAATAACAGAAGCCGGGCGGACAGTGCAGACATTGCGGAAGAACGTGGTGCGCCAATGTATCCAACCGCGCGAAAGGGAGAGGGCAAGATCCTCCGGCCTCAATACAAAGACATCTTGCAAGGTATGTATGGGTCGCGGTAAGAAGACTGGATTGTGCTAATTGGCCCTAGATCCTGCCAATGCGTTGAACCTCATTAATCACTCTCCGCCACCCACAAATGCATCGCCGAAAGAGAGAGACATCCACTCTAGTCGCCTTACACGAATCAACAAGTTCAAGCGCATTCTGCAGGCAAGCACGGTATCCCCCACTGAACTGCGGAATCTCGCTTGGTCAGGCGTTCCGGAAGAAGTGCGGCCAATGACTTGGCAACTTCTGCTGGGATATCTCCCTACAAACAGCGAGCGTCGTATCTCCACGCTAGAGCGGAAGCGCAAGGAATACCTTGATGGAGTCCGGCAAGCCTTTGAACGAGGCAGTGGAGCAAGCTCCACAAAACCGCCCGATTCGACGAAGGGTCGCGGCAGAGGACTGGATGAAGCAGTCTGGCATCAAATCAGTATCGATGTCCCGCGCACCAGTCCTCACATTCCGTTGTATGGATATGAAGCCACTCAGCGGTCCTTGGAACGCATCCTCTACGTCTGGGCTATTCGTCACCCGGCAAGCGGCTACGTCCAAGGTATTAACGACCTGGTAACACCATTCTGGCAGGTCTTCTTAGGTGTTTACATTACCGATCTGAATATTGAACAAGGCATGGATCCCGGCCAGTTACCCCGAAGCGTGCTGGACGCGGTAGAAGCCGACACTTTCTGGTGTCTTACAAAGCTTTTGGATGGTATCCAGGACAACTACATATATGCTCAACCCGGTATTCATCGACAGGTCAGGGCGCTACGGGACTTGACAATGCGCATCGACTCGACACTCGCCAAGCACTTAGAGCAAGAGGGTGTGGAATTTATGCAATTTAGTTTCCGATGGATGAACTGCTTGCTCATGCGGGAAATGAACATCAAAAATACGATACGCATGTGGGATACTTATATGGTATGTTTGGGTCTACTTGGAGGTGCTTTCAACGGATACTGACCGTCATGATAGGCCGAGGAGCAGGGCTTCTCTCGATTCCACCTTTATGTTTGCGCCGCATTCTTGGTCAAGTGGACGGATCAATTGGTCAAGATGGATTTCCAGGTATGAACTGCTAGCATAAATGGCCACCCTCCCGATATACTAACATCAACCTAGGAGGTTATGATGTTCCTCCAAGCATTGCCTACGAAGGACTGGACCGAGAAAGACATTGAGCTCTTACTCAGCGAGGCATTCATCTGGCAGAGTCTGTTCCAGGACTCGCGCGCTCATCTTCGGCCTGCTGGGGATGTTCCTCCTGAAAATGGTATCTTTTATTGATAGTAATCATAATTCATCATCCAAATTCCCGGCTTCCATGGGATGTTTCCGGGCAGAGACATGGTGCTTCGCTCAGTTGAAATGAATTCCCTTTTGGTTGAATGCCCACAGCAACTTCAAGAAATCATTCTCGTCACACATTCTCGCACGCTTCTCTGCGAGTCCAGTCTCATCCTCCAAGACCTGGCGCACCTTTTCACGGACGAGCTCTGCAACCTTGCCTCGCTTCTTGCGCGACGCTCCGTTCTTAAGCGCTGCTTCAATGCGAGCGTTGGTCTCCTCCTTGAAGAAGTCAGGGACATCGTCATCGTCCATGTCCATGACCTCGTCGGCGGGCTCCTCAGGAGCCTGCTCCTGCTCTTCGCCCATATCCATTGCCATCGCATCATCGTTGGCGACCTCGGCCGGACCATCCTCCACGGGGATGTCGTTTTGTGCACACCATGTTCGGTAGTTTCCTTCTAGCATGTCCATAATGCTCATGGTACCGATGAAACTAGACCGGAGGGTCTTGTTCTTACGCACGAAAACAATGCGCAACAGTCCGTCCCATTCGTCGTAGTTGATCTGTGGCCGCGGGTTCTTGGGAACCATTCGGATGACACTGGACTCGACCTGAGGTGGGGGCTTGAAGTTGTTCTTGCCGACTTTCATGATGTGGTCGATCTTGGCCCACATTTGCGCGTTGACTGAAAGTCGACTGTAAAGCTTGTCGCCGGCCTTGGCGAATAATCGCAGGGCGAATTCACGTTGGAACCTGTATGAGAGTTACGTTAGATCTTAATGATACACATAGCTTTCGCAATGACGGTTTTGGCAATGACATACATGAGAATACAACTGCGAGGAGCCGGAGATGTAGCCAGAAGCTTGAATGTGAGAGGAGAGGAGATCTATACTGCATTAGAAACAGTCGCGACCCTTGCAACCGTGGGATATACATACCTGGTAGGGGGTATTACTGATGCAGACGTCGAAATATGGGAGCTCCGTCTTCATCACGTCTCCAAGAATGACATCCAGACGCTTTTGGTATGGGGTAGATTGGAATCGCTTGGTGACTTCAGCAGCCATACGAGGATCCAATTCAACGGCAATACACTTCTTCGCCTTTTCGAGAATCTTGGCTGTCAAGTTACCAGTTCCGGGACCGATTTCAAGCACGATCTGGAGATTATATAGCGTCAGTGTTTGTAAATCTAGTCAATCGCCTCGAGAACTCACGTCGCTTTGCTTGAGCTCGGCCTTTTCCACAATAGCAGCTATACATCCAATTATTAGCCATAAAAGATATACTGTAGATAAAGAGTAGCTTACCTGCAATACCAGGGTTCTTCAAAACGTGCTGGCCAATATCAGTGTTCATCTTGAAGATGCTGTGAGCAGCTTTAGTCTTGGCAGCAGCATCTGAAAGGCCTTGTGAAGCATTATTACGCTTCTGTCTCGCGACTTTAGGCATTTTGTATGAAAGAACCTCAAGGATTCAAGAATTAAGGAAAGAAGAAGACTTGCGCATCGACTTCAATGTGGGCAACTTTTTTTGGCCGATAAGATTGCCGGCACCGGATTAACTTTTCTCACGCCCGCCTTTCCTTCGCTGTGATCTCGAGCTTCCTGAGCTGTGTCGTGCCCAACATGGCGTCCGGACGAAAAGATTTCCTGAGCCAGCAAGCGCCTGACAATTATGTCGCTGGTCTTGGTCGTGGTGCGACCGGTTTCACCACTCGCTCCGATCTTGGCCCGGCGCGCGAAGGACCTACACCCGAACAAATCCAAGCTGCTCTAAACAAGAGAGCACAGCAACTAGGAGCCGCTGCACCTACTGCCTACGGAAACCAATCGCGCGAGAAAGGAGGGAAAGAGGACGAGAAGGAAGAAGACGATGAGCGCTTCCAGGATCCGGAGAATGAGGTGGGACTGTTCGCATACGGACAGTTCGATCAAGAGGACGATGAGGCAGACCGCATTTACCAAGAGGTAGATGAGAAGATGGACAGGCGCCGGAAAGCTCGCAGGTTAGTCTTACACTCCCCTTCCCCTCAATATCATTTGTTCATCGGGTTAGCCCCGGTTGTTTGGACATAGTACCGACTTGAATCGCTCGCCACCTACAGGGAAGCCCGAGAGAAACTCGAAGAAGAAGATTACAATCGCAAAAACCCGAAGATCCAACAACAATTCGCCGATTTGAAACGAACCCTCGCCTCGGTGTCTGAAGAAGATTGGGCCAACCTCCCCGAGGTTGGTGATTTGACGGGCAAGAATCGACGAGAGAAGCAGAACCTTCGACAGCGGTTCTACGCCGTTCCGGATAGCGTCATCGCTGGCGCTAGAGACTCGGCCCAATACGGTACAACAGTCGCCGACGATGGAGCGCAACCAGATGCCGGTGATGGAGAAGCCGATGGTACTATGACGAACTTTGCAGACATCGGCGCGGCGCGTGATAAAGTGTTGAAAGTTCGACTTGACCAGGCTGCACTGGGATCATCTGCGGACACATCATCAGGAAGCGCCACGAATATCGACCCTAAGGGCTACTTGACTAGTTTGACCCAATCAGAAGTGAAAGCCGGTGAAGTCGAGGTGGGCGATATCAAGCGAGTTCGGACTCTGTTGGAATCCGTCACCAAAACCAACCCGAAGCATGCTCCTGGTTGGATTGCACTCGCCCGTCTTGAGGAGCTTGCTGGCAAGATCGTGGCCGCTAGAAACCTCATCGCCAAGGGATGTGAGCTTTGTCCGAAGAGTGAAGACGCATGGTTGGAAAATATTCGACTTAATGAAGGTCACAACGCCAAGGTCATTGCAGCAAACGCCATCAAGAACAATGACCGTTCTACAAGACTTTGGACCGAAGCCATGAAATTAGAAACCGACACTCGCGCCAAGAAGAACGTTCTCAGACAGGCCATTCTACACATACCTCAATCTGTTCAGATTTGGAAGGAAGCCGTCAACCTGGAAGAAGATCCCGCGGATGCGCGTCTACTTCTGGCAAAGGCTGTCGAGATGATCCCTCTATCAGTCGAGTTGTGGCTTGCCCTTGCTCGCCTAGAAACCCCAGACAACGCACAAAAGGTCTTGAACGCTGCTCGCAAGGCCGTCCCTACCAGCTACGAGATTTGGATTGCCGCAGCTCGACTCCAGGAACAGATGGGCACTTTTGCTAGGGTTAACGTTATGAAACGTGCTATTCAGGCTTTGGCTCGCGAGAATGCCATGCTAAAGAGAGAGGAATGGATTACGGAAGCCGAAAAGTGCGAAGCAGAAGGCGCTGTACTCACCTGTGGCGGTATCATCCAAGAGACACTCGGATGGGGACTGGACGAGGATGACGACCGAAAGGATATCTGGATGGATGACGCGAAGTCCAGTATTGCCCGTGGTAGATATGAGACTGCCCGTGCCATCTACGCCTACGCTTTGCGGGTGTTCGTCAATCGCCGATCAATCTGGCTGGCAGCAGCAGACTTGGAGCGTAATCATGGCACCAAAGAAGCACTCTGGCAGGTTCTCGAGAAAGCCGTAGAGGCATGCCCCCAGAGTGAAGAGCTCTGGCTCCAACTCGCCAAGGAAAAGTGGCAGTCCGGCGAGATTGACGACGCACGCCGAGTCCTCGGCCGTGCTTTCAACCAAAACCCCAACAATGAAGACATCTGGCTGGCCGCTGTCAAGCTGGAGGCCGACGCCAAGCAGACCGACCAGGCCAGAGAGCTTCTTGCCACGGCTCGTCGCGAAGCAGGCACAGATCGTGTCTGGATCAAGAGCGTTGCATTCGAGCGCCAGCTTGGCAACACCGACGACGCCCTCGACTTGGCCAACCAAGGATTGCAGCTTTTCCCGAAGGCTGATAAGCTTTGGATGATGAAGGGCCAACTATACGAAGCACAGAACAAGTTCCCACAAGCACGAGAGGCATATGGTACAGGCACTCGAGCCTGCTCCAAATCTGTTGCCTTGTGGCTTCTCGCCTCCCGCTTGGAAGAGAAGGCCGGTGCCGTCGTCCGAGCTCGGTCTGTTCTTGATCGTGCTCGTTTGGCTGTACCTAAGAGCGCTGAGCTCTGGACTGAAAGTGTGCGCGTTGAACGCCGCGCCAACAATATTGCCCAGGCGAAGGTTCTCATGGCACGTGCTATCCAGGAAGTCCCATCATCAGGCCTCTTGTGGAGTGAAAGCATCTGGCACCTCGAGCCGCGGGCTCAGCGCAAGGCTCGCAGTTTGGAGGCTATCAAGAAGGTTGAGAACGACCCGATCTTGTTCATCACTGTTGCTCGCATCTTCTGGGGTGAGCGTCGTCTGGAAAAGGCCATGACCTGGTTTGAGAAGGCCATTGTTGCCGATAGCGATTACGGTGATGGCTGGGCTTGGTATTACAAATTCCTTATGCAGCACGGCACTGAGGAAAAACGATCAGATGTCGTCTCCAAGTGCACGTCGATGGAACCCAAGCACGGCGAGATCTGGCAGTCCATTGCTAAGGACCCAGTCAATGCGTACCGATCTACCGAGGAAATCCTGAAGCTTGTCGCGAATACCATCAACTAGCTGATTTGGTCTTTTCAAAGGCGTTATGGGGGTATAGAGCCCGTGGAATTGAATTACAAGGATGTATGTATCAGACAGCAAAGGTCTAGAGCCTTTGTCCAGAAATGGAAATCAACGTGAAAATCTAGACAGGGGCCAACCAGCGTATAAAAACTAATACGATGCAGACACCACTAACCCAAAATGTCCGCATAATTCATTCTTATGTCCGCATAGAAACTCCGGCATAAGCCACAATTGACGCCAGAAGTGCTGGCGATTGGCCAAACTGACAGTGCTGTGGAGAATTCACCGGGGTGATATGTATAGAACAGCCGAAGTCGTGCCGGTACCCGGTTTTTGTATATATCTGTAGCGATGGCTCGTAGTCTTTTACATATTCTGTAACACTATGGCAGACCTCGAGAAACAGGTTGTTCCTCACGATGAGGAGGTCAAACAGGATGCCAATC